AACCCAACCAACCCAACCAACCCAACCAACCCAACCAACCCAACCAAACCAACCAACCCAACCAAACCAACCAACGAACGAACGAAGTAGGTGATTAAGTAACTAACTGACTGGCTGACTGACTAACTGACGAACCAGCTGACTGGCTGACGGACGGACGGACGGACGGACTGACGGACCGACGGACCGACGGACCGACGGACGGACGGACGGACTGACGGACTGACTGACTGACTGACGACCTATCTACTTTATGACTATGCATGAATGCTCGATTGATAGTTAGTTCCTTGTTTTTGTAATTGACTTGCCTCAAGCTTATCAAGCAGTTAACATCACCCAGATGAGATTGAGCACAAATTGAGTACAGCAGCAGGAAATCAATTGCATCAGCTGAGAAAAGAAGAGGAAAAGGAGAGTTACAGTTACAATAATGCAAAGTAACAATTCTTGTCACTAGGGATTTTGAATCTATTCTGGTGACAAGAAATGAGGTTGCTAAGCAAAATAGACCCATACGCAGACTGAAAATGCGCTGACAAAATGTTCCAAAGGCGTTTGCTTGTTGAAGTCCTCTTGGCTTGAAAATTGTTTCTTTTTGATGAGTGAAGCTCTTATCGAGCACTGTCCCAAAAAAATTTCTTGCAATTATGCAGGTGTCTTCCCAAAAAGGCAACTTCACTGTTGCAAGGGAAAGACCTTTTGCAGAGGAGAAGGCTGTATCAAAGAAACAAATTGTAGTCGTCGGGGGATTTGCTGCTTGATTTAGGTAAGAATTTCAACAATATTAAGTTGTTTGATAGCAAGGGCATTGTTGAAAGATTGTATTGATTAAACCAATGCTTGGAACAACGTATTTGCTAATCAATGCTGATCATACACTTGTTTCTCTCAGACAAACTATGGTTAGGTTCGTGATGTCTTCATAGGTTGTCTATAGCGAATGGTGTCACCTTGTATGGTAGAATTCAAGAGTATATGGCTGCAAATCCAGTAATCCTTGCTAAAGGTAAACCCAATGAATACATAAAGTGAGTCGAACTGTAGTAGCTGCAACCGGGAGACCAGACTGTTTGAAAGAATTCAATGATATATATAATAAGTTTTCCCTACACATAGAGGTTTGCTGGATGCAACGGCGAAAAACAAACTACAATAACTTTGAACACTAACTATATAATGTTCTAAAAGCAATTATGGACGTTACCAAATTGGATGTGTTTGATAGAGCAACAGAAGCTTTTGATCCAGGCTTCTGGCAGCAGTATCAAGAGCAGTCATGCAGCTTGTCTGGCTTGCCGCCGCTCTCTCTCTCTCTCTCTATGAGATCCGGCACAAGTTTTAGAAATAACAAATCATGCACACAAAACCATACACCAAGCTGCTTAAAATCATCATGCCATCAAATCATATGTATACATACATATACACACACTTATACATACACACACATACATATACAGTACAGTACATGGATGCCCCTAAAATGCCGACGAAAGTACTTTTAAGACTGGTTTACTTAAGACTTAGCTTGGACAGAGTAAGACCTCTTAATACCTAAGACCTACATTGTCTAAAGGTCCGCACATGTGCATGATTGCGTATATTACCGTAGAAGCTCTTCTCATTTTTTGATGATGTTCCCACGCCTTTGCCTTGAAAAGTGCTGAAGACACTTCAACATGCTGTACCTTTTTTTAAACATCATTAGCGTATTTTTATTTCTATGGGATGGGTGACCACATATATATATACATAGTAATAACAACAATTTTCTTCTTACCAGGAGGTGTTTTGGGGTCTCCCTATACCAATACACTCTCATGTTTGCTGGACCGTTTCATCTCCTGCTGAGGCCTCCCTGTGAGTTGCTGGGCGCTGAGAACTTCTTGGCACATGGCTCCTGGGGTTTGCAGGACTTTACTTTGCTTAGGATGATTTAAGATTTTCCAATACTTTCCCCTTTTGGGTGAAGCCCCTTCTAGGGAATCTGTAGGGAATTGTGTATAGTGAAAATAGACATGTATGATTTCAAGTTCCTTGATGTTCCTTGTACCAATCCTAAGAGGATGATGAAGACCAATTTCCCGCCATTTTGACCTTGGGCGAGATGGACTTCTCCTTTTCGCTGGCAGTGGCCAGATTGAGACCGATTGGGACCCCCCTGATCGCTTCCTCATACCTGGCGGAACATGACCCGAGCGAGGCGAACCATGGTGAAATAAGCTCAGCTGCCCGAGTTCTCCTTGGCAGAGGGTTGCATGTAAGCAATAGACTTCGTGGCCGTAAACAATCAATGACTGTGAATTGATTCATTAAAATTGACAATGGATCAACTCTTTTGGTCCAGTGTGGTTGTGGGTTGATTCGGGTTGATCCATATTCTTCCTGATCCATCTATATAAAACTTATTCACCCTCTTCCTCATCCTCATCTTCAGCCATCCTCATACTGAAGCATCCTCATCCTCCTCGTCACACTCTTCTTCATTTTCCTCCTCGAGCTTCGTCAGTCTGCAGATGAATCATACATGATATATCATTCTATGCATCATATTTTCGCGTTATTTCTCCGGGATCCCTGTTTCCCTTCACCGCCAGGTCCCTGAGTCCCTTCCATGGTCCCCATCCTCATCCTGCTCCGCGTCCAGGTGGAAGTGCACCCGGCCGACGACGGCGAGCGTGCGGCCTATCGTCGTGTGAGTTTGCCTGGGATGAATGGAGCCTTGGAGAAGAACATCAGCGAGCTCAACGAGTGGGGTGCGCAAGTCTTGCACAGCGTGGATGCCACCGATTTGGAAGGGACCTTGAGAACACAAGGAGTGGAAGGCAGAGGAGTTGAAGCATGGTAGAACATGACATGGCACGGAGATGGCACATGTAAATATTCTCCGTAGAATCTGCTTGATAACATTCACTCGAGGAGTTTTCGAACCAACCCTGACGGAAAGGTGGATTCCATATTATCATCTTCCCCTTCCCGCGCTTTTCGCTGAGCCGTGCTCCAAACCCGTGCAACTCCAGACTGTTGAGGGACTTCTTCAAGAGTGCCCAAGATGGAATGTTGTTGGAAGGAGGTTTGATCCAGCTGATCATGCTTTCGTCTCAATACGAGGACATCCGGCCCAAATAGGGATGATGGTTGCAAGCGTCGCTCGTTGGAGTTGATAATTCCTATGTCCCAACCCACGGACATCGGAAATCATAGGAATTTAGACCCAGACATCTGCAAATCTGTTGGGTGGATCAAAAAAACAGCCAGTGGCTATAGGCGGCTATAGGCCCCACTTGGTGTGAAGTTGTCCCATCCTGCGCCTGAACTGCGCGGAACCGCGACTTGGCAACGTATTAACCGCGCCACCGGGACAGGATTGGGACGTGAACGGCATGGCGAATGATGTGGGATTTCGTTTGACGAGCCGCGTTCAGATGCCGCCGTCCTTTTACCAACCTCGTGAGATGAGCGGAAAGGCTTGGACTCCAAGTGGTGCAGAGCTCTTGACCTTCGAAGCTGCGCCATTGGCACCGATAGTTGAAATTTAGGCGCCGTATTGAGGCACCCTTTTTAGGCGCCTTAACCATGGTCAAAATCAACTGTTGTGTTTTGTTTGATACATTGAACCAACGACGGAAGATGGTGGATTGTTTCAGTATGTTTCAGTGCACTGCTAGTCACTCAAATTGGAAAACAGTTTGAAGCCGAACTTGGGTTGGATGGGTAAAAAACTTGGGGGGTCTACTGCTGCTCAATCTTCTGAACAAAGGGATCCCTCCATGCTGAGAAGTTCTGCAAAACATCGGTCCAAACGATCGGACCTAGTGTTGATGGGAGCATATCGGGCAGACTTCCATAGGTTTCCACCGAAAAGCAGAAGATTTTGGACCATCCCAGGCGCCTGTGCGTCGGACCGTAGGATTTAAGGCCAAGCTCCTGTTGAAAGTGCGCTGAACAGCGCAATGCCACGCTGCCTTGGGAGGCAAAATCATTGGTCTGACGGAAGGGCAGGACCATGGGTCAAAGATGTTTGACCAGAAAACTACATGAGCTGGATCTTTCGTTTCATAATATCCTACTCTAAATGAGGGCCCTTTTGCACAGCTGTTTGCGGGCAGCTGTGGCCACAGAATTGATCGTTGAGATGGGGGTCCATGCCTTGCATGACTCGGTCGGCGCTTTTGCCCGTTCAGCTTCTTGGCTTTAGCGCCTTTCGCATAAAGGCATGGCTCCAGGATTTTGCGTGGCCATACAGAGAGAGAGAGGGGACACCAAAGAACTGTACCAACTGGAAAGAAACAGACACACACACACACACACACCTCTACCCTACACGCATAGGCAAGAGCGCGCAAGAAAGCAGACGTGAGCAGATGAGTGACTGAGTCGCTCAAGCATTCACAAGCCGACGCAGTATGCTGCTGAAGGCAGCAACGCCTTGGGCGACACAAGTAGGCGACTGACGTCAGAGTTGGCACTACTCAGAACCAAGGCCTTACTTCAGATCTCAGAACTCACGGTTCGGGTTGTTCGAGGGTTTTGCAGGGATCCCCAAAGTAGCTCATTCGGAAATGCCCCCCACCGCCAACAATTCAACACAAGAAAGAAGAGTGGGACCAAACCACGTGGAGAAAGGAAAGATCAAATCGTTGCAGCAGTTTGATTACAAAACGACTTCGGAGCCCTGGCAATGTCAGTGTGCTCAGCTACTCTGGCCAGAGTGCATCTCTCAGTGAATGTGCCGGACATGAGTGAATCTAACAAAAGGGGGCAAAGGGCGGCCGTCAAAGGGCGGGATTGCGATTTACAGCAGAGACAGACGCGAACCTTGTCGCCTCTGCTGTTCCCTTGCTTTCCTTGCTCAGTGGCTCTCGCACTCGTAGAAGTCTACTTGTACTCAACAGTACTGTCTTTGCTGAATCAATGAGCTCTTGCCTTTCTGTGAGACAGGCTGGCTAAATGTGTTCATAGAGCCAGGTGAATGTGGAAGTTTCAATGCTTAGGCATAGGCAACAGATAGCAATGGAGTTTATGATGGTTTATGGTTGCATGTGGTCAAGGCTCCAATGGACACATTTTCACCAATGAACTGTTTCAGCTTGCCTCTGAGTTGGGGAGTTCAAACTCGGGCACCGAAGCAGGCACTTCAAGCCAGAGTTTCCACGTCGAGGCCGGTGGAAGCCCAGGAAACGAAGTCGGAGACAGCCATGCTGCTTGATTGTGCTATATAAACACAAACAAAGCACATCAAAGAGCACAAGGTCTCTTTTAAAGGTGCGAACGCATCGAAACTTCATGTCCCGGACACATGAGAGATTATAAAACCCCCCCACCCAGGGAATTAGTATTCGCATGTCCGTTTTTCTTGGAGCATCTGCAAACCACTGTAAAACGATAAGGAAGAAAAAAAACGATAACCCCCGATGATTGTTGTGGAAATCCCTTGGCATGTTTCTATTTGTGGTTTTAGGCTTATGTCCTCACAGAGGGAGCAACAAGGAGTGTCTCCTGGGCCTCCGAAAGAACAGTCCCTGCTCGACAAACAGAGTGTGAACCATCTCCCGTTCTTCAGGGCAGAATCTTTAAAAAAAATCCAAGTTGCACCAGGCACCAAAACGATAACAAAACGATAACAAAAACGATAACGCAGCGAGCCTAAAAGACCTTGTGTAGGTAGGCCACCACATGTGAGCGCCATGGACAGCAATAAGATCTTCTGTCTGGGGACTCTAGCATGGACTCCAGCATGGGGAATTGTACCTAATGTCTTCATGTCTGCAGGTTCCACACCACATGCACGCAGTGCACACACACATGTATACTACATATGTTACATATGTTGCAGTTAGTCAAAGTACTGTAAAACGATAAGGAAGAAAAAAAACGATAACGCCAAAAGTGGTAAGGCAAAAGGATAGGGGGTTTTTATACAACCTCACATGGAAACAACATGTTCCGCGGGCGTCCGCGGGTGCGTCGAAACAATCTGCAGCCTTCGCAGGCTCAGTGCTTCCTCGGGTCGCCGAGCGTTCGCAGCAGGCAGTCCATACAAAAGAGTCTGGACTTGAGGTAGAGGTGTGACAGTGTCACCATGCGATTCGAGGGAACTATGTCTACTTGTCCATCGTTCATGACAAATGTCACCTGTACCTAGACTTGATATATTGTATGGCGATGTGGTGCATTGATCGAAAGAATGGATCGGAGCGGCAGACGGTGCTGCAGGCTCCATCCTTCGGCCAGGGCGCACCGCGCGTCACTGTCCTGCGTGGCGTCCGTTGCATCCACCGAAGCCAGGCTTCGGCCAGTTTAGTGGCTTCGGCGGCTTTCCAGGACAAGGTGCGACGACAACATCGCACCAAGTGCGTGACACGGGAGGGGTCTGGACAGGGGCGAGGTCGTGACATGTAGGTTAGATTGACCATGATGTTCACGATCCTGTGCATGCAGTACAAATATATATATATATATATCGCAATTTTTGTAATTATCACATTATATACTATATTAATAAATTTAATTGGAGTTGTCGAGTAAGTTATAGCACCCCTCTTTTAGCCTTCGGCTCCTGGACCAGCTCGCAGGCCCAGCCGGGGCTGGAGATGACCGGCTGTATCAGCAGGAGACCCAGCTGAGCTCAGGAAGCGAAGAGGTTCGTGTAGATTAGGATATTCTAGTTGGAGGGCGACCTGCGAACGGCGCCGGGGCAGAAACCGTACTTGTTATTGATGTTTTGTTTGTATTCGGTTCATTGTTGCACATGCTCACGTCACCACCACTAGCCACGTTGACTTGGAGCGATCCGCTAGCATGGGCCACGCCCTTCATGTGGTGGGCGGGTTGGGTGGGTTGGGGATGCATTGCACGTGCACACGTCACGTGTTCGCCACGTTGACATGGCGCGAGTTCAATCGCGCGCCTCTCTGCACGCCATTGAAAACACGGTGGTCTTCGAATAGTCTTTGCGCACCTTCTACAAGAGCTGAATCTCCTGCAAAGACTCTGTGACCCTGAGCGCATGCTAGCGGATCGCAGCAGTCAGTGTGAACCGTCAGAATAAAGAACTCGTGAGGCAGGACCGGAAGAAAGGACACCAACCGGTTTCTGCAATGGCCGGGATGCAGGTCATCGACCGTGGTGACAAACAGGGAGCCGGTTTCTTCGCTGTTACTAACCGAGTAGTTTTCCCATTTTGCAAGCAGGGACTCTTGCGCACCCACTTCTGAAAACATGCTTCTCGCTGTACTCGTAGCGGCGAGTCACATTTGGAAAAGAAATGCCTCCGAAATGACACGGCGGCAAAGGGTCGCCAATGTACGCCAATGTAGTATAACAGTATTACTTAGATCGGACAGGTAGAGAGTTCCGAGGGATAGTCCGCTGATGTCAGATACTATATGGATGCAAGCGCACTTCAGGACCGGTGTGGCTCCTGACCTGTAGCTCATGTGGCCCCACACTGTGCAGATGAGCTGACTTTTGTTTGGCAAAACGAGGTTGGTTTGATGCTCGGCCACTACAAATCCCTGGGTTTGACGATGGTTTGCTCTGGTATTCCCTTCCACCTATTAACACATACCCCCCCGGTTCCTAATACAAGCTCCGGCTGTTTCTGTTGCGACGGGCCCCCCCCCACACCTGCAAAGATGGAAGCCTGCAAAGAGATTCGAGGAAAAGTCGCTTAGGAAAAGTTCTATATATTATTCTGTTAAGTTCAGTAGTTGTTTAAGCAGGCAGTAATTTTAAGCACATATTAACTGTATTCAGGGGTCTCCGACATGAGCTTTTCTAATAAAGGTAGTCGGGTTTATCAGGTGCCAACGGTGCCAACAGGAATCTTGGTTGACCTTTCGCGAGAAAACAACAAAGGAGGAGTCTTCGTGCTGATTCTTCAAACAGTTCAGTGTTGGGGTTCTCTCTTCGGAAAAGACACTGGCCACAGTCTTCGGCCGCGCCCCTGAACTTTGTGTCCGGGTGTTGTCCTCTTCTTGTCCTGCTGCCCTCTGGCCGTGCTTGTGAAGCCCGTGTCGGCGGACAAGATCCTCCTTTTGTCCTTTGTTTGCTTACCTTTGTCACCCGACGCAGACTTCCAAGTGTTCGACCAACGGTGGATGGTTTTCATGGGGCTGTAACCATTGACATGCCTAGCAACTTGCAATCTGTATGGAAGCCATCGTGCTTACAGTTACAGATCATTTCTCATACTTTAGCGAGATGTAGCATGGTACGTGTATATAAATCTGTTTGCAATAGACGTATGAGAGACATCCCCCATTTGTGAAACAGTGAACCTCGTAATATGTTGCATTTAAACTTTAAATCAACAGTCTACTAAAATGACCCAATATTTTCTAAAGGGATGACATTCACAAGTCTTCCCAGGTTGCTTGGGATCAACCGCGAAGCGGACGAGGCACGTATGGTCGGTTTCGCTCGCTTCCAAGGATTATCGACCGGGAAGCCGTCTCGTCGAGGCAACCATCAAGCAGGCCTACAAGAAACAGGCCATGAAGTCGGAGCCTGATGAATCTGACTGACACGCTAAGTAGATGTGGCGTGACCCCCCCAGTCAAGCAACCAAAACCCTTTCTCTCCGAGCGTGCTGCTCACATGGAAGTGGATAGCACAAGCCCGTTTGTAGTGTGAACAATTTCTTCCCGGGCCGTACGGTTCCACAGTCTAACCGAGGCATCACCCCGACCGTGGTGGGGACGAAGCGAAGTTCAAAGACATTTCCAAAGCATACGAGGCAGGTGAAACTGACATCAGTACGGTGAGTATAAATGGATTGTAAGGGGCAGATGACTTGAAAGTGGCTTCTCTTTACTTTTCAAAGCGGCTAGTACAAGTTCTATCGAACGTGGATGAGCAGGGCATCCCCGATACTTTTTTGGGAACCAACTTTCTGACATATTGTAATCCATTCATCCTTTGCCATTTGTTCAATCCAGGCAAGGGGATTGTTCACTGGTGAATGCCCTCAACTATTCTTTTTCTGCAGCCGAGGCACACGGATTTGAAAGACGAGAAAACAACAAAACGCTGCCTTCCTAGGAAAGTGACCATTACTTCACATTTTTTTCGAGAAAAAACACCCATTAATAAACAACACTACCCGTCGGAGGAGAGCCTAATCACGAATCCAACTTCGCACGAAAAGAGAACCATTGAGAGCTACGGGACTTGTCGATCCTGTCGAGATGGTGCTTCACCGTATGAACCGTTGTTTTGCAGAGCACTGGGCAGACACTTCGTTGGACCTGTGTTGAAGCACGACCCATCACACTTATGGTGAACCAACAAGATCAGTTAAATATGCATGCTATTTCTCAAAGTTTGAAGCAGGCGGATCCGCTGTTTCCTTTGCCGTTGGTGGAACTCAGTTCCACCCAGGTTTCACATCGGTTCGGGTGCCGAACGGATGAGGAAAGTGGTTGACCTCCGCTTTTCCATAACACCTGGTGCTCTTCTTGGAAAGTTGTTTGATGAAGTGGAGTTCCCTGCCCAAAGGATTTCCCAAGGCAGTGGTTTGCGAAGCAAATCGAACGCTTGAAAGGTTCAAGGAGAAAGAGGTGCAAGTTGGGACCAATGGATACAAAAAAAACCGACGTTGGTTCAAGACCCGTGCCACAGGTTTTGTCAGACCCTCAAAAGCGGCAGATCTACGATGCATACGGAGAAGAAGGCCTGATCGATCGGTCGGAATCGCAGCTGACGGTAGCTGTCGTGCGTGTTCAGCGCAATGACCAGGGCCAACTCGTCCAATGCCTGCTTTGTGATATTCCGAATTCCTCAGTTCGGTAAACAATTTTTGTCTGGCCTTTGAGGTCGCGATTTTGTAGGGAGATTTGTAGGGAGAAGTTCATCGAATTTCCATGAATTTCCCCGTGACAAGGGCACATGATAAAGCCTTTGTGAAGCAACACCGAGAGAGAGGTTTTGATCATCTCATTTGACTCAACGGTTGGAAGAACACCCCAGCTTTTGACCGATTCCCAGCTGTTGCACCCTTTGTCCCAGCTCAGTTCGCGAACTGCAGGACTGGAGGGTGGTGCCGACCCAGGTCCATTCCCCAGCTTGATCTTTTGTTTTGTGGGAGTTGGATGAAGACGTAATGTGCATTCTTGATCATTCTTGTGCATTCTTGTTCCTCCATGCATCTCCATGTTCGACGCCCATGCATGGGCGAAGACGAACCGCCGTGCATCGCATGCGACTCGCAGGTGGCGGCGCTGGCATGAACCCCTTCGATTTGTTCAGCCGAGCCGCCCAGACCGTTCCACCACCGCGCAGACGCTGGCCGTCCCGAGACCGGCGCGCGGACCGTCCCCGGGGCGCCAGGCCACATTTTCGGCTTCCAAGCCGGTGGCCAGCGCCGACGTGGCCGACCCGTGACGCCGCTTGGGCCAAGAAACGAGACGCTGACGGTGACGTCACGTTTCTGGGTGCCATGGTGTTTTGGAGACCGGCGTCCCATGTGCTCCAGGCAAAATGCGGAATACAACATTGAGGTGACCCTGGAGGCCGAGTGGAACAGAGTTGTGCTTCCACCTGTGCTGACTTGGTTTCATGTTTTTAATTCAATATGCTAGTGTTGCATTTGGCTTGGCAGATTTGGCAGGAGCTCTTTGTCGGTACCAGCCGTAGCGACTTGGAGCCTTTAATCTGGAAGTCTCGTGTTGAACTGTGCATTGATCAACTGGGTAGTGAATTTAAATATGTTGACATCCCTTTGTTCATTTTCTACAGTCAACCAGGGTTACGGGATTTTGACCTAGAGCAATATGATCTCAGCTCCAATTTGTTGTTGTCCCATGTCCCATGTTGTCCAACGGACGAAGATTCATGACGGGGATGACACTTCACCAACCCCTTGATCTTTTCGCGGCATCGACGTCTAGCTTTACAAAAGCTTGCGCTTCGCTGTAGCCGGACGATACGCCAGACTGCCAAGGGATCAACTACCAAAGGAATAAGATTTGCCAGACTTGCCGAAGCCTGAGAGAGTACCACCGTTCATACTCGGACGAGCCTTTCTCGTTCCTCTTTCCCGTTAGCGAGAAACCGCCCGGCTGCACCGGTGGTTCGCACGTAGCGGGTGAGGTCATGGGCAAGGGGGCAAAAATCCTCAGCAGTGCCAACGATGCAAAGGTGCTGGCTATGTAGTGACGTCCGGTGGCCTGGAGGTGAGTCACTTCGAGCGGATCGGCGAGGTGACGGTGGTCTGCACAGATGCATTGTGGTGTTGTCTTTTTTTTTGCTTTTTGCAGATGCTTTCAAGCAGGATTCAAACACATGAATCACCCAGAATGTTTCTGGTCCGACATGCGCTGTGACGATCCAAGGGTGCAGCAATTTGGGCCAATGGTTCAACAGTGATGCTCTCAGCATGCAGACGCGAAAAAAACTATCATGATGGGCGACCGCGATTCGGTGAGAGATCAGCGTGGTGGAAGAGGATTCGGTGAGAGATCAGCATGGACCCGCACGTCATTGGGGTTTGGAGATGAAGCTTCTCTTGAACAGGGTCTAGGTTCCTTCCGGCAGAACATCATGTTCTGAGCATGTCAGAAATTGCGTTCGCCGGGGTTTACAAACCGTGCAACTTCAAGGATTTATCCTGTGACATGAACAAACACGACTCTCCACTGGACAATAGGGGGACTGCATGTTGTTTGTTGCTGGCTATTTCTGAGGTGCTTCCTGCCATCCTAACTTTCCCTTGCAGATAATCGCTGGGTGGTCCAAATGAAGAGATCCTGCGAAAAAACCAAGGTCGTCGTCAGTGTGCTCCACATGTAGAGGAGATGAGAGCCCATTTTGTGCACCACGTTCCTCAATTGCACGTCTTGCAGTGAATTTTTTGCACCGCGCCCCGGTCCACTTCCTGCAGGAAAAGGTGTGGTCATACGCCCGGAAGATGTGTGTGGTACTTGTAAAGGCGCTGGCACTGTGAAGGCAGGCTTGGGTTTTTTGCTTTCCTGAAAGTGGACATTGTGTTCCGCCCGCCAGTCCCCCTCTGTGCTGACATCATGGAACAGGGATGAACCACGGCTCCAACTGGCACCATCTTGTACCAACTCTGAAGTTCTTCTGCCCTCTCTATACGGCGGCACCGTTGGCACCGGTGATCGTCACCTCGACCCCGTCCTCGGCGCTGCAGAGACGGTCGGCTGTCCGCCTCCGGCACCGACGACAGGAGAAAGCCGGCTACGACATCAGCATCGCAGCGGGTGCCGAGGATCGAACGGGTTTGGACGCCGACGTCTGGGCGCGCCGCCGTGAGGCGAAGAAAGAAGGGGGAGGGTGAGAAGAAAGAGATAAAACGTGTTGAGATACAACTAAGTGATGTTGAAGTTTGTTTGTGAAACGACATGAACTTTTTAACACACACTTTGGAGGTTCTTCCGAGGTTTCCTTGATGTCTTGGGCTTTGCAGACCCTCGTACTATTGAATCCTGGAAAGCCAAACAGCCAGAAATCAGCGCAGGGTTTTGGCCAACGATGGCAAACGCTTTGCACAACGATTTCGAAGGATCAGGACTTCTTTGGGCTCCGTGCGGTTTTCCCGAAGCCAAGTGAGGCGCCATCCACAAGTCCTTGGGCTCTGACAGTGATCCTTAGGCTCCTTGGGCTCCTTGGTCCTTGGGCCTTAACATTTCCTCCAGGACGGCCAGGTCTTCCACTTCCCAGGCGCTGCAGATGAGGCCCGGGCGAAACTCGCCGGCGCGCCGCCGGCCCGGGCGAAGCATTGCTGTGTCCAAACCGCATGGGGCTTGCCACCGCGGTGCCGCCCAGGAGCCAGGGCATGACCCTGGAGATTTGATCATCCGCATCAGGGAGAAGTCGTCGGGATCGCCGAGAAACGACCACCGACGTGACAGGGACAAGACGCTCTTGTGAGAGAGATGGTGTGATGGTGTGACCGAGAGATGTGACGGGCAACGGATCGGTGAGCACAATGTGAGCACAATGTGAGCACTGGGAAAAGAAACACGAATTCACATGAATTCACACGATATTTTTGTCCTTGATGGCCTCTTGATGTCGCAAGATCGAAGGCCGCCTTAAAATCCGCCAGGCACCCTTTGTTCCAACGAGTTGAGGAGAGCTTGCAGTGGTGTTGGATTGCCCTGTTTGGTCATCTTTTGCCAGTCCATGCCATGGCAGGATTCCTTGGTGATGCAAAGAAAGGTGAGTCTCGTGCCAACCTTTGCGGAACCGGGCTTCTCGCATGTTTTGGCACCCAAAGAAGCATTCAGTAACTATAGCCTATAGCTTTACAAAGTCTTTATCCAAGGAAAACCGAAAGCATCCATGGCAGCCGTTTTCTTTTTGTCAGTGCTCAGCAGTGCAGTTGCTTTGAGGCAGAGGCACTCTGTGGATTTGAGCTTTCTGTGCCCGGAGCTTGGCATTTCTTTGTTGACAAAAGCATGTTTTGCTTCGATGGTCAACTGAACCACTCTTTCTGATCTTGAAATGCCAGGAAATATTTGGATGGTGAGAATCTCCTCATCCGAAGCGAACCTGGCAAGGTCAGACGTTGAGAGTCACACTCTGGAGTTGCTGCGTTGGTTGAAATGTGTAGACGGTGAATCAGAGGTCATGAAACCTGGTGACGTGCTTTTGGTTCCAAGTAAGGGCATGCTGGAGCCTCAGTGCTTGTGACGGATGCTCTCCCAATGGAAGCATCCAGGATCCATGTTTTTTTTTTTTTAAGTCAGAAGTGTTTTTTCCATTGAGGCCGAACAAGGCCACCAAGAAAAGAGGAAACTTGTTTGTCCAGATTCAGGCCGCTGATCGAAGCGATCTTTGTTTGCCCAAGAGTTTGAGTGTTGAAGAGGGAGTTGCTGGCAGGTGGACTTCCCAAAGGACATCCACGAAGACAGCTGCTTGGCTTGGTATGAGTTGGGTGTCTTAAAACAGGGCTTTTGTTGGTGGTTTGCTCTCTGTGAAAACCAGGGGGCATTGGCCATTGGGAGGGATTTCTTGCTGAGACTCTCTGATGCAATTTGTTTCTTGTGGTCCACGAGGCAGATCGGACTTGGCCAGGCTGCTTGGGGGAAAGCTTCCCAAGGAGAGGAATGTCCTTGTCCCAATGTCTGCTACAAGTTCTGGCTTCAGGAGAGAAATGGTGAAGTGGCCAAGCAGCTGTCACCCACACAGGCACATCGCGTTCTTCTGCAAGGGCTGCTGTTCCGGTCAGTGCTACAGCACTTCGGGCCCCATCGGACATGGATGGTTCCTTGCAGGTGCAACAAGTGAAGGAGTCTTGGCGACAGCAGGGTTCCTGAGAGTGAAACGAACAGCCAAAGGGCTGGAGCTGGGCACAGAGGTGAGCGATGGAGCAGCCCATGGGGAGTCCAAACCTGAAGCCCTGGTCCAGTCCACCATGTGAGGCGAACGACCGGTTCCTGGTGCCATGACCCACAGCCAAATGACAAAGCCTGGCTTCAATCTTATTGGTAATCAATCAGATACAATAAGTTCTTGTTTATTTTAAATCTCTCTCTCTCTCTCACAAGATACTGGAATCATTATTTTGAGAAGCAGCCTCAGGCATGCTGAGCAGCGAGAGCAGACAAATGGATGCGCATGGTGCCTAAGATTGTATCGATGCCAGCTTCTTCAAGAGATCTAGGTGTCGCTGAAAGGAAATTAGACACTGGAACCACTCTCAATCATTGATTCTCGTTGCTAGCGCTCAGGTATCCCAATGAGTTCTTGCATGTTGTAGGTTGCTTCACTGCACTCTTTATCTCATTCTTTGAGTTGCCGCCGATGTTGTTTCACATCCAAGCAGCTTGGCTAAGAGTAGAGGCCCAATTTGTCCAATGTGTGTGGTCAGACTAGAATGACTTCGCCATCTTTTCAGTACTTCAAACAACATCGTGTTGGCGCGAATTGACGAAGTGCCGTTTGGCATCTTAAATTTGCAGCGCATGACTCCTGACAGACAACTGCAGATTGGTCTTTCGTGATTTCAAGGCTAATCATGGCTAGCCAAGGGAATCTTTTGAACAGCCGAGCAGTGCAGTTGGGTTGGATATCAACGCCCAGTTTTTCCAACGTCCTGAGGCGCACCATTCTTCCGAATAGTTGCCGTGAAAGTGATTGACCGTGATAGGAATCTTTGGTTGATCCATTCGGAAGTGGGCGATGAAAGCCTGGTAACTGGACACCTGGGGCTGTTGCCGTAAAAGTTTTGACGTCGAACCTGAAATGCGCTTGACCCAGCGCTTTTGGCGAGTACAGACCACATCCAGTCTACGCTGGAGCCACCACAATCGCCTCGCAGGAAAAATGGGTGATGGGGATTGCAACTTGGGTCCTTTTAGAAGGATGGGACAACTCCTCAGTTTGACAAGGACAACTCCTCAGTTTGACAAGGACAACTCCTCAGTTTGACAAGGACAACTCCTCAGTTTGACCCTCACCCCATCACCCCTCCGCTGAAGTTAAGAGATGTTAAGAGAATACTTGCAGTGTCAGTCAGTGAACCTTGGGTCCTTTGTTGGATGCTCACAATACTTGACTACCCCTCACGCATCCAAACCCCACAAATTGGATCAAAACTATATAGGGTCGATGGAAAAAAACGGTTTCTCAAGGAAGCCCACAGGTGTTCCAAACCAATACGAACATACGGGTCAAACGTATGGGTTAAATACTATTAAATACTACCGTGTAGTATATGATAATATATATATATATAATGTGGGTTTAGTACGGATTAAATCCGGGTTTGAAAACCAAGACCCGAGGTTTTTAGAACAAACCCTGAAGTAATTTTGATTTCACGCAAATACCCGAGGTTCCGATTGGGCGCGTAAGGTATATAACATAAAACCCATCGAACAATTTTGGTCTCCCGTTTTTTTCCCCTCCACAGAAGTTGATATCCAAGAAATACATAGAAATACTTCCTCCTTCCTTTGGACAGTTGGGTGGAGTTTTGTTGCTTGGATGTTGGCTCAGCAGATTAACAGGTAGAACTTCAGACAGAGGGACATGGGATGACAGAGGGACGGATGTTCTGTGCATGCTCATCCGAGATCATCGGCAGATGGTTTTCGCATGTTTTCGCCAAGCTGCAACAAATCGCCGGAGGTCGAAGATAGTGTAGGGTTTACTACCCTGTGTAACCGAAGATCATCGAAGAACATCGAAGAAACACACCAACCAAGCCCTATCACCAACCAAGCCAAAGAAAAACATCGCTGATCATTAGATCATCGAAGGCTTTTTTCCACGAACCCAAAAGGTGCGAAGAAGCCCTTTCCGGCATCCTGCCATGGCAGGCACACATGCCGGTTGCACCCAGACGAACGGGCTGTAATCACTCGCAAGTCCATGAGGCGAACAACATCGAAAGACACACCCGAGCCAGGCCTCAACCCGCTGGTGTTCTTGGATGTCGCGGTGGGCAGACGTGCAGTTGCTTGCTTAGTTGATTCTGGATGACATCCAAGTTTTAAGTACTATGACAGCATAGACCATTCATAGACCCCAGATAGCAAAAGGATGCCAAAGGTATTTGCGGGCAGTGCCACAGCAGCGGCACCAGCACCCAGGCTCCAAAGCACACACAGGGATTTCTTCCAAGACTTGAAGTAAGAACCCCAATACAGTAGTTCTCGCATGCTCTCGCTATTTTTTTTGTGGAATCTAGAGCTTTTTACTTTTGGGCGGTATCTTACGATCCTTGTGTACGATGAGGTTGGCCGGTTGAAGTTTGAGCTGTTTCATGACCAGCTGCCCTTCACGTCCGAGAATTTCCGCTGCAGCGCTCTCAGAGTTCTTCACCAGCGCCTCGCCTGAGAGATCTCCTTGCAGATGGGTGCTGAACTGAGGCCTTTGCACTGGAGAGACGGGTCTGGGATACTGGCTTCGCCCTCGTTGGTGCCCTGGCCGGCATGCTACCCGCATGTGGCCGAAGCACCTCCTTGTGCAATCCGGGAGGGTTGGTGAAGGACACGGGGGGGGCAGGGGCAGCCAGCAATGTGAGGTACAAAGACACCAACTTTTTGCGAGTGGTCCCTGGATTTATGTGCCGGGGGCCTCAAAACTGATGAGACCCTGCCTGCATCACAAGTTTGTCGAGTCAAAGTCAAAGGGTAGTCAAAGTGAAAGTGGAGTTGCCTGAGCAAAGTTTGGAAGAAGAGTCACAGAAGGGTCGTGCAAAGCAAAAACCATCCAAGTCGGCACTTTCCATAGATTTGGATATTCTTGTCCTCGATTCATTTAAGGTCAAGGCGGAGATTTCAACTTTGGAAGCATGCTCATGGGTGAGCCTGCAACCTAGCTGTCAGATGAGCAACCACTTAATTTGGTGTTGACTAAAGTAGTCTACGGCATGCTCTATTTGTTTGTCCAACATCAGAACATCCGTATTAGCTGGTGAACAAGATAGGGCCTCCACCTAAACGAGATACTTTTTTTTGATGACACTAAAGTAGTCTTGTTCAAGATGCTGCGCTGCTGCTATGGTGCAGGCCTTGTATTTGAGATACTGTGACATGACCGAGCCGCCGCGGGCTTTTGGCCGAGGTCCATCTACGGGCAGCGCTTCCGCGATGAGCGATTCTGCTACAAGTCACTCGATCGACCGCGCGAACCGGGCGGTCAAAAGGGCGACCGCGCGGAGCGCGGGGGGAGGTTTGCGTTGCGGGGTGAAGCAAAAGGGCTTGTGGGGTGTGGTGCATGGAGATGTGACGAGATTTGGTTAGATAAGGTTTATAGATTTTACATTAGATATCATTAGATCATTTAGCTGATTTAGATGAATTCATAATATATGAATTACCTTTCTTTTAGGAGTCCATTCCAGCCGAGTCGTATACCAGACGGTGCCATTCATGGCCTCTGAATGGCCTGGGGCAGTGGGGCAGCCGAGGCACTCGAAGCGCGGGGTGCTGTCCATGGCCCATGCAGGGAGGACGACCGGCGCTTGGAACTGCGAGCTACGACCACCCCCAGCATCCTATGGATGGTGGTCAGTAGGGACTAGTAAGGATGTTTGACTCGACATGCTTCAACCCGGTTTGCTCCCTGGTTCTCGCGGTCGCCTTTGGAGTCGCCTTTTAGATCGGCGATTCGGCGACGTGTGTCCATCTGTCGGGCGCCAGGAGACACACGAACAATTCTCAATTCTTTATTACCTTCGTCCGAGCCTCGTTTCTTTTTTTAATGCCTTAGGGTCCGAGCCTCAGGTTTATTTTGTTGGATGGAGGTTTCTTAGGGAGGTGAACAGGCCACGATCTGAAATTGAAGATCAACCTTTCGGCGATTCTGTGGCCTCAGCAATTTTGGTGCGATTTGAAGTAAACACGGTAGCTGGACTGCTGTAGAGCAGAATTCAATGGTCTTGCATGCTTGTGCAACGGCAGTGTTCTCAACAGAGGCATATTCTCATACCCAACAGGCAGGGGATATGGATAGGTCATGATAGGTCAAAAGCCTCTTCCAATAGCTTTGTTATGTTTTGGTCAATGAAAGGAATGAACCATGAAACCAAAAAACCCATTGAGATAACAGGGGTCCCGCGCAGCGGCCGCCCGAGCAGCGCGAGATGACACACAAGAGCCACACAAACACAGCCACATCCACTGCTTTGCCACTGGGGTCGGAGCGATGGATGCAGCAGGATTCTTCGAGGGGACCGAGAAGCCGGGGGCTCAGGGCCCTCAGGGCCCCCTTTTTTATCCTTTTTTCTTGTTTCGGTTCTTCTTGACAGTGGCGGACACCCGGTGCGACTCCCGATGCGCATCGCGTATAGCTACAGCTGAGGGACGTGAGATGTCCGGGTTTCTATATGGGACCATCGTCCGGACACATCAGGAAACCGTAATACGCATGTGGTTCGTCTCATGAATGGAGCTGGCTCCCGAATGCATGGGTGCATGGGCCGTCTCATGTGTGGGTCTTGGAGCAGAACGGAAGCAGAGAACTCTGGACGGACTACCAGACGATGACCAGACGAACAGGGACGGATGGGGAACACTCCACTCTCCTGGACTCGTGAGGGATGGGTTTCCGAGAACAAGAACCAGATAGAACCAAGTGGTAAAAGGATGTCCAAGGTCCTGCTCTTCTTCGAACAGAAGCCGAACACTGAGGGAGTCTGCCGTCCCTCCACCATCCCTCCAACGAACCGAGGAGAATCGAGATCGATTTTCGTGGCGAGGGCGATCTGCGGCACGCGCCGCGCAGCAGCTGGGAGACGGTGGTGACACAATCGGCCACCCAGACGCCCGGAACCCGCCGGTGGAACCCTGTGGAGCGGTGCGGCGGGGGTAGGTCGTGCCAAAGGTTCGAAAAGGTCGTCAATGTGACTTGGTCTATTCCTACAGCCTACACATTCATGTAGCTCTGCAACTGGGGTGTACAGTAGCTCTGCAAAACCCGTCTAAAACTATTAATACTCTATATAATTTAATATTATATATAATATATACTATCATCCAGTGTTTCTTGGGAGGATATGCGGCATACCCTAATTGCACATGATGGGCGGACGATTCGAGTGTTTGCCCGAAAAAGCACCCAGATGAAAACCGTTGGCGCACTGGGCTTTGCAGTGCCGCGTATTGCCTCAAGCTGCCCCTGGCCCCTTTCCACGCGCTTCCTTACATTTCGAGAAGAGTTCTTTGTTTCTTCGGCAAAATTGACACCCGGTTGCTGAGGATTTTGAATTGCAAGGAGACAGCAGAGTTTACGAGCTTTCTGCTGTCAGAGAGTAGCCTGCTTGTTCCTTGGCGACGGCAGATGGCTACGTCGACTCCACACCAAGCGAGCGATTTCCGGTCGACTCGTGATACTCGGTGCACAGGATACTCGGTTTAGGAGGAGTTGTGTGCTTTTTAGTGCTTTTGTTCTTTTCTCACAGTCGTTTTTTCATGCTTTTTCTTAGCCATGAGTTTGTTTAGCCAGTTGCCTTTTCAAAATTATCATCACATCTTTTTAACGTTGACAAAACTGGGAAGAAGGGCAGCAAGCAAAACTGGCAAAATCATGACCCAGAGGTATCATGAGATCATGAGGCATCTAAGCTCAGACCATCCATGCAACTGGAATCGATTGCATACGGGCCCCATGGATGAGCCATGCAATGTATAGGCAACTCCTGGGAACTCCATACATGGTCTGGCCACTCTTGGCTTGCTGAGATGGGCTGAGGTCTATCCCAGGAAGGTCTCTTGGCAGACGTCTACGACCGTGACGCGACCGTGACGCGACCGGGACGCCGGAGTTTGGGGAGACGGCGACTGAGAGACGTAGCGTCCGAACGCTCCGTTCGTAGCTAGTGAGGCCAGGAGTTCCTAACGTAGCGTCCTTGTCAGGGCCCCAAATCCCATGTGGGGCTGCGTAGCTACACTGTGTGCCGCGATCATCGGGTCCGGTCGGCTTGTTGGTCCGTTGGCTTCTGGTGTCGGCCTTGGGGTGTCGGTGTTGAATCGATTGGGTACTTGATGAATGTACTGGGATCTTTCAGCCCTTAGAATCCTCATGGATCCTAGAGGCAGCAGATGGACAATATATACCAGCACCTTCAGTTCGGGGTCACCTGGCTGGAAGCCCTTACACGACTTAGGGATCTCCATTGTCCAGGTAGCTTTGTGTGAAAGAAATCAATGGCCAATCTCTGCAACATCGATCATCCTCGCTGATCCTGCCAAGACCATCATCAAGACATGTGGCAGCACTGTCCCACTGTCTGCAGTGCCCACGCTCCTCAAGATTGGCGAGAGCCAAGGCCAGACCGAGAAAGCGATGGCCACTCCAGCAACCGGACATGTGAACTCACTACCTGCCTGTGATGCAAAGCAAACACATGAAGCATGGGGCATGGGGGGGCATGGGTGGTTTCTTCACATGCTTGGAAAGACTTGTTTCCACATTTTCCAGACTTCAATTCCGCTCCAGACCGTTTGATGTCGTGTTTTGCCGCGCTCTTCCCGTTGATGTCGTGCTAGGCTTGGAGTTGGAGTGGATGTGCTATTCACGGAAGAACTTCTTGGCCCCAGAGGCGGATGTCCGTGGGAGCAGATGTCTTACCAGATCTTCAGATGGGTTTTTGTTGAATGACATCAGACAGTAAACGTACGCTTGTATAGTTTGGTACGTGGTGACCGACACACCGGCGGTGTTGCTGTGAAAAAAGTCTTGACGAAACGGGTGTCAACTGTGTCAACGATCCACTTGAACTTTGGGAAGAAAAAACTCTTTCTTTGCCACCCGCCATGCCCCTTGATAGGAGCAGCCACATGAGCATCAATCGATGGAGGGAGAGGTTGAAGCCTGCAAGAAAGTCTTCGGCCCTGCTCCTTGGCACCGAAACCTCAACCTGTTGCCAAGACATCCATACAAAAATCCATCCATACAAACATCCAACCATACAAACAGCCGCTGCTCCCACCGATGTTTTTCCGACCCGCTGCACCCGCGACAACGCCGGAGCGACCGAGCCGAGACGCGTCTCGGGTCAGAGCGGAGTCAGGTTGGAGACGCTTACGTTCTTGGTCCTCTCACTGGTGAACATTGGCTCTTCTACGACGCTTTGTATTTGAAGGCTGGGCCGGGCCAGGCCTTTTTCTTCGGCAGAGGGATCGATGACAGAGCAATCTTGCAACCCAACCGCCCAGCTTGCTGCGATGACATGCGATGACCCCTTGAGCGAGCGCATGACATTGCAATGTTATTTCGGATGTTAAAAGCTTTGCCAAAGCATTGGAGTAGTGGGACATGCCATAAAACCATTTGTTTGCTGATGGAAACCACCTAATCTCAGATGCTTCAGCTATCTTCAACTCTCCCATTGTCCGCTCGAAAGAGATGGAGGCATCCAAGATCGCATATTATGGGACTGACAGATCCATGGGACTGATAGATCTTGGGGTGGTTGAAAAGGGGTCATGTAGGGGAGGGCGGCATGTATTCCTGTCCCATGGAGTGTTTGGGAGATGTTAGTTCTTTCTCTTGACACGTCCCATGTTGATCGTTGCATGTTTTGATCTGATCATTGGAAAAAGAACAACAATTCCTGATGAAGTGGATGGAAACATGGCCCCCGATGTCGGAGGATGAAATCCGAAGAAGAAAAAACGCCACTCCACTTCCATGGGGTGAACTTATGTGAACTCTAAGGTGAATGGGGTGATTTTCAGGGAGTCCATCACTGTTTTTGGAAGAACCATCGCCCTATTTTTCTAAGGGCATTTCTTTGGGCCTCCACGAGCCAAGCCACACCTTCCAATCGCCACCACACCCCTTCCTTCCCGTTTTTGGGAGATCTCGAACAGGCGAATACGGGTGGTTGGTTTGAGTTGAGATATTGTGGGAGATGCTGTGCCACCCATTGAACATGGCAATCATGAAAACGAGTAGAAATCCGGAAAGGGAAGTGAACTTTTGACAGTTTTCTGTATATGTTTGATCCAGAACTGCCACAACCTTCGTCCAGACGGCCTCCTTTATCACTGCAAGACCCCGCCGAACGCCAGGCCGACTATCTGGAACGTGGAGACTTCACGATCGATGTCATGATGTATGACTTGCCCAAAGATGTGCAGGAGGCACGGATGGACGGACGATGGCGCTGGCGCGTGGCCTGGAAAAAACCAAAGCTGCTGGATTGACTGGAGTATGCTGGAGTCAACACAGGCCTAAGCCTAGCCGGCCTAGTGTTTTACTTGCATATATATATATAAATGTCATTGCAATTCTTTGCATAATATATAAATAGCTACTGCTATATACTGCTATATACTTAAGTTATATATACACAACTGCAATATTTATCGCAGTAATGTGGGGTTTTGATCAGCACATTTTCTCCATTCAAAGGAATGATGGAGGTCCAGGAAGTGCTTTTAGAGAAAGCAAACTGAAAACGCATTAACATCAAAAGCACACCAACTGGTTTCTGGTTTCCTTTTTAGCACCGAATTCTTGAAACATGGCCCTGTCCGACACACCGGCATTTGCTTGCTTCGAGCCTTTGTAGGTCTTCCACACCAGTGAACCTGAAGGAAGTCGAGTGGGTGCCGAAAAGATGACCAAAGAATCGGGTCTGGCACAAATCGCGGAGTTCATGAATGCAGAGGCCCCCAGCTGCCTGGAGTGGTGGGTGTTTGCTGGAGTGGAAACTGTATGGTTCTGTGGGT